GCATATCGAAACCTTAACCAAACAATCTTCAACTCTCACTGGAAAAATGAATACAAACCTCTACTAACTGTTAAACCGGAATGGTATAACTCTACACTAGCAGAGATTACTACTGAAGAGGTTACTGAAACTTTAAGCAACTTATCGAACAACAAAGCCTGTGGCCCTTCTGGAATTAGTTATGAAATGATCAAACATTCAGGCTCTAAAACTATTCAAACTATCACAGCACTACTTAATCGCTGCTTAATAACACAAACAATTCCAAAACAATGGAAAGATAGCCGTATCTTTCCTATTCCAAAAAAACCTACATTTGATGGTGATCTAAGCAACACACGCCCAATTAGCCTCATCGAACATATCAAAAAACTTTATACTAAAATCTTAACTACTCGACTCAACTCAATCCTCTCTACACACAAAATTCTCAACCCACACAACTATATAGCTCTACCTGGCAATAGTACAAATACTCCTATACATATCTTAAACAATATCATTGAAGACTCTTACTGTAACAAAAAAGAGTTATGGCTCTTGTCTCAGGATATGAGCAAAGCTTATGACTCAGTTAACTTAGACCTTCTTAAACTAGCTCTTGAACGTATTCAATTTCCACCCCAACTATGCAATATTATAACTAACCTATTAACTAACCGTACAAACAGAGTTATTACAAATCTAGGATTAACTGACTCTTATAATGTTAATAATGGCATTGACCAAGGAGAAACAATCACTCCTCTACTATGGCGCATCTATTATGACCCCCTTATTAACAAAATCTCTACCTCCTACCAAGGCTACACAATGTCTGCAATCTGCAAAGATTCTATAATTACTCACAGAAACCATAAACTAAAAGCAACAATTTCTGTCTTAGCCTATATGGATGATACACTCTGGATTACAAATTCAAAGCCAAATCTGGAATTAATAACACAAGCTGCAACAACTTTTTATCAAATGGCTAATATTCAAATCAACCCTCTTAAATCTGTTCTTACTACAAACTCCAAAAAACTTTTACATCTAAATTTTATTAACTCTTCCCTACAACCACAACAACCTAATATTCCATTCAAATTTCTTGGATGTTGGTTTACACTGGACGGCAAACAAACAAAACAAACTAAGCTTATTACTAACGAAATATCTAATTTAACTAATACACTTAGAACTAAACATATAACTGACAAGCAAGTTCGCTATGTTATCAACTCTGTAATAATACCTATCCTTGAATACCGCATACATAATATCATCCTCTCCCAAACAACATGCAACAAGCTTCTTAGCTCCTATCTCACTATTGCTAAACACAAATCCAATTTAGCACTAACAACTCCCAACAGTACTTTAAAAAAATACCAAAAGCCTATTTCGAGTCAATGGCAATACTAATTAATAACTGCAAATCAATATTTTGAAAACTATAACACCCATTGTCTTTTTGGGACTTGGTTTGTAAAACAACTTGATCAATTCAAAAATATACCTGATAGATACATTAAACAGTAGAAGGTCTTTATCGAATAGATAAATAATAAGAAGCTTAATCTTCAAATAAAGTGTATGATGCAATTTGAACAATTTTTCTATATAAAATTCTTTAAATTTCTAACTGAGTTTGATAATATATCTCAAATCTTAGAAAATGATAAGTCCGAATACCTTTCTTCTGAATACTGCGTATATGAGCTTCTTGATTAAGTTTTATTCTGGCTAAATGAATTGCAACATGTAATAATTAATCCTTATATAATTTTTAGAAAAGAACTTAGTGAAGTACAATTAACACTATGTAATCAAGAATTCATGACTTTAACTTATCAGATTAAACTTGATTTAGAAAAAGCCTAAGATGGATTTTTAAAATAGATAGGCTGCTGAACTCATTTACCATTAACCATATATCTATTAGGTGGAAATAATGGTCCTAATTTTGCACGAAGTATTTGTTATATTTTCTTAAACTGAACATTGAATGCTGAAATAACTGATAAAGAACTTCTATACACAGAACTATTAAAAAAAGACAAGTTAGAAGGAAATTTTTAATTGTTTAGTTTATTTTATGCACTAAAGGATTCCAAATTTTTGAAACAGTTCCTTATCTTTTCAATATCCTGCGCAAATGAACTCCCAAAATTTCTACTTATATATAACTTTGTTAAATATAGAATTTAGTTAATCATAGTTTACCAATAGCAGCTTGAAGGAATATTTAACAAATATGACATTAAAACTCACTCTAATATAACTAACGAGCTCTAAGAAACAAGGCTTCTACTCTCTAGTCCAAATCGACTAGAAGTAAGACTTGATCATAAAGATTTAATAGTAATTTGCAAGAAAAGACAAAGTAACATAGTTAACAAGGCAGAAATAGAACTTAGAGAGATGGCCACTAAAGTTATTTTAAATGAGTTGTTAAAAAAAAAAAATAGCGAGTAAAAGTGTAAAGTCGACTAAAGAAATTTTTTTAGTAGAGTAATTTATACCTATAATTTTTCCAGATTTATGGAGTTTTCCTAATAAAAAATTCTAACTATCAGATTTTATTATATGCACTGCACTATGATAATAAATTATTTAATATACAATACCCCAATCTAATATGATAATCACACGTAATTACCTGTAAGATATTGCTTTATTATAACAAAACTAGCAAAACTGCAAACTGTTTAGATACAAAGAATTCTCACGTGAGAAGGATATTATAGGTCGAAGATTTTAAATGCTTGATTAATAAAATCCTTAATTTTTTGTATTCTTTTCGAAATAACTTTTTCTGAATTTTCATTATACCATACTTCAATAAGATAAATTCCATTAAGCTGACAAAAGTATCTTTTCTTTCGATCACAATTAACAATATCTTCAAATCTTTTGATATTCTTATACCAACTAGTGCTATAAAGCCGATGTTGACTTCCTTGCACCTCCAATATGATTTGATATTTTTGAAAGAAGGCATCAAATTCTATTCTGTTTAAGAAAAGAGATCGATATTCAATTATTGGTTTTCATTAAGAAGGTCCTTAGCTATTTGAATATATTTAGTTTGGAATTTGTAATTTTTCTTATCAAAAGCAGTTATGAGATAGCTATATTCTGATTTTTTCACAAATTCTTCTATAATTAGTCTTAATATTGCATTCCTTGTTTCAAGCTCAAAAATTGTCATCTTAATATACTCAGAGAGGATTAGATACTGCAAATTAGTTTTTAATTTTATTATATCAACCTTATTTTTAGCATATTTCTCTATAACTTGTTTTAAAAGTTTGGTATTCTCGATTTTAAGCTTTGTAGTCTCATCCTTAAGCTTTATATATTCTGCATTTTTAGCCTCAAGATTAGCTTTCTCAGCCATAAGTTCTACATTCTTAGCTTTAAGTTTAGTTAGTATGTATTCCTTAGTTTTCTCTTCTAATAAATCTAATTCAGATTGCATTTTTAGTAATAAAAGATGATTTATTTAATTTTTGAACTAGCATAATCTATATTACAATATTTTATAATATAACAAATCCTTGAAACATATATGCAAAAGTAAATATGATTATGTATGCGAAATTCAGCTACTAGGGCTAGCTTTATTGATATGATAAGAAAAGTAAAAAATATATACAATAGATTAAACAATAAAAAGAAAAATATATATATATAATGGATTGAACAAATTCATGGTAAGAGGGAGAAGGTATAAGGTTTATTATATAACTTATCAAGAACTATATTAATTAAATATTTAGGCAATTAGTCTATATCAGTTACAATGATGAGATACGTAAGTAGTTATTCCAATAGTTCCAATAGTTCCAGTGGTTCTGCTATCTCTAGTATCACATCTATTGTACCAGAAGTAAAGCTATTCATAGAGAGGCCTACTATTATACCAATAGTCCCTTTTGGTTACTTAGTTCGAGTAAGCATACCAAGCAACTCATCTACAACTAGGTGACCTGTGAATATATTTAATATTATTAATTGAATTTTAATCAAAACATCTGATTTAATATAATAATACCTATATTAAGTCTAACCCAATTTTTATATTAGATAATAAATCATGTCATAGCAATTTCATATATAATATTGATATCACCATCGCCCAATCTCCTAAATTAAAATAAAATATGAATACTTGTGTCATAATCATCAACCAACCAAAGAAGTTGCATAGGCAGAATAGTCAATGACAGTGATATGCATTAGAGATCTTAACATCTTCAGTATTACAGCATAGAGAAAGATTACTATGTATTATATTTTGTTTGAGTACTTAGTAGAGCCTTTAGTTTTTATTAAAGAAACTATAAAACTGAAAATATCTGTGTCTTTATTAGAATAAATAAATTTTTGTACTGGCTTTGGAGTTGATCTAAAGCTTGATTATTATTTTTTCTATGAATGTTTGTAAATAAAATTCAAAAAAATTTGTATAAAGATTTGGTTACACAAATAATGTATTGTCATGAGATTGTTGACTGAATTTGGGTTGAGGTACTATTTTGAGAAAAACTTAAAAATAATACTTTTTACGTAACCTATGTGAAATTTATTCTAACATGTTATCGCATTCATATTGCTTATATATTCTGTTTGCTACTTTTTTGCAGATTTTGTAATATAGATGTGAATGATAATTGCATTCATTGCAAACCTTATACCTGTACTTCCACCTTCTAAAGATATGCTACTTTTTAAAGCAATTTTGTTTGTTTTTATTTGTAAGTATACTATGTATATTCTCTTATTGTTATATATTAATAGAAAAAATATAATGTAGCTAATTTTTTTATTATACATACAAACCTGTAATATATAGCATCATATGCCTGTGCCCTATCTCACAGATAAATTTTACGTAGACAAATTATATACATATATATATACAATGATAACAATAAATTTTGTTAATCATTATCACTAATTCAGATTTATATTTATTAATCATTTGAGAATTATTGTTAAAATATATATGTATATTTTTCACCCATATATATTAGCAGAAAAAAATAATATATTGGTATGAATGTATATGTTCTAATTTTTTATACATACAAATCTGTAATAGGTAGTATTTATGTTTATGATCATTTACAATATACATAGGTAAAAACTCTTGTGTATAGAATTTCAATATCTGTTATTATTTATAAGATATACAAATAAATATTCCGTAATTCAAATTATAATAATTATTTTTGATTTGTTTGACATTAAGTGTAAACTCGAGTTCACAGGTATAGTAATCACATGATACTAAAATACTTATTGATTAAAACGAATTATCCTAGCTATGAGGAGATAATTGATATTGTAATAAATAAATATCAATTTTTACTTCATCATGGATATAACTATAAAAGCAGAAAATTAATACATATAATGTGAATATATATATGTATTGAAAAAAAGTGTTGAGAAAGTATTGATAGAGATATCTCTATTAAAAATATTATCTAGAAAGGTTTTAGTTCATATTGAAGAACGATTTAAAGATCTTTTACTTACATCAGTTATTATAGTTGATTAAATAGATCATTACTTTAGAATACGAACATAGTTGGTATACTTATTTTTATGATATTTTTAGATAGGAGAAACAACCTTTTTCTTTTTAACATGAACATGAAGTATCAGATATTCGAGGCTTTGCCTCTTCTTTTGGAGTTTTATTAGGTCGAGATTATACTAGTCTGAATCCATAGATTTTGAATCGAAGCTAGATGAATCAGTTTCTGTTTTAGATTTGTTGTGAAATATTCTATGATGTTTCTTTTATTGCTTATTATTATATAACAATGACCCTTCAAGTTTATCTTCGATATTTGAGAGAATTTTATTAATTATATTTATAACCTCCTCTTGAGCTAGACTAGATTTAGATTCTGTTGATTTAGAGACAAAGTCCCATAATTTGGAAAATCGTCTAGGTACGTAAATGCTATTATTCTACAATATAGCCTGCTCTGCAATAGATAAGTTATTTTTAGTAGAGCTAGCTTTATAGCTCGAAGAGTCACCTGTATGTCTGCTATCTTCTTTGATTAATAGGATACTCATATCATCTATTTCAATTTTAGCATAGCACTTACAATTTTCTAAAGAAAATCCAAAGCTAATTTTTGCTTCACGTATCTATAACCAATCCTGTTCTAACACCAAATCAAATAATAGATTTTTGCAAATTTAAAAATCCATTACTTCAGTACTATCTAAACTTCACCATTTTCCTTTATATCAAAATTGCAAATCTAAGTCTTTTATTTCTTCACTGATTAATTCATCACCAGATAAATATTCCAACTTATAATCTTCTTTAAGCTTATTGAACAAGCTCTTGCTAATAGTATTGGATTTAGATATTGAATCAATTGATGCTTTTACTAGGATTTTTTCTTTGACAAGTGTATTTATGAACATATTATATATATTTAATAATGTATATTACCATAAAAAAATAACTAATAATTAATTACCTATTCTTCAATAATAAATGTAATTATTTATAACTCATGTTAGAGGATTCTCTCTGAGATAATTAACAATTGCAGAAATAAGATCTGTTTTATCTGATGTATAACTCAAATAGTAGTTTCTAAAAGACCTAGTTATAGCTATCCTATTTTGTCTACTGATAAAGATTGGAATAAGTAAAGGTAAATCAGAATCAGAGAATTTATCATCAGAATAATCTGGACGTTTGATTTTAATTTTCAAATTGAGATTTTTCAGCACTTCATTACTAATCCTTCTACACCTCTTCAAACTAAGATATTTCAAATTAATACAGTTACTAGCTATCTCCTTGATAGCTTCATTACTAATTGAGCAATCACTAAGTTCAAGATATCTAAGTTTTGAGTATGAGTGAGTAATTTCAGTGATACATCAATTAGTAAGGCATATATATGAATTATGACTCAAATGCTGTAGTTTTAGAGAAAATCTCATAATTTCTATAATTAGTATATTAGTGAAATCCTTATTTTTATCAAGAATAAGAAAGTGTATATCTGGGTATGAATACAAAATTGTACTGATCAATGCATCTGAGATTTTCAAACCTTCTAATTTGAGATATACCATTTTGAAGCAATAGGTTGGCTTTATTTTTCTATGCATAACTCTTTCAAAGTTTATCAATTGCTGAATAAGAACCTGAGACATGTTTAGGGCATGCTAGCTTTGCTAATAATCCTCGTTAAAAAACTCAATACAATGCTATAGAATAGGAGCACTATAGTGATACCAAAGGTAGTTGATGAATAAAGCAGGATAGAAAGATCAATCAATTTCTAAAAAATATAAGATCTGTTCTAGCAATTCTGGTAAAACAAAAATATTTAGTTGCTCTATTCTTAAGTTGTATATTATATATCTTTAATCGAAAAAATAACTAATATTTGAATAATTAATTTAGATGTATTTTTAAATTAGTATTAATAAATAATTTAACATTTACAATAACTGAAGCTGATAGAACTATATTCTATATTACTAAACAGGTATTAGGTAAAAAAATTTGAATTTCTCTCTGTCAATTACTAAAAATAGTAAAACTTGAGATTCAGCAAGATATTATAAACTCGATAGCAAACCCAAATATTTCTTGGAGAAATCGTATACTATCTGAGGCTAAAAGAAAAAAAACAATTTTTAATAATATCACATCTGAGTTCTTATCTGAATCTTCATTCTCATTTGAGTCTGGGTCTAACTCTAAATAGAATAAAAGCAATTAGTAATTATATAGGTTAATGATATCCTTGACCTTACTATTTTCTTGTTTAGATGCTGGAGTATTTGGTCTGTCATTCATTATACCATAATGTTTAACTAATAAAGTATGATCTATTTTATGTCTATATGCCAATTGCTGTAAATATTAACTATAGGAATTATTCCTATCTCCATATACTCTAGAAGTATGATCGGTACCTATTTTTTTTAATATATATGAAGTAATTCTATGGTAACTTAAGAATTGATTAAAAGATGCAATATTAGTATTCCTATCTTTATCTTTTAACAAGAAGAGAAATTTATCTGATATTGATCTCTGAATCTAGATAAATAATTCTCTTACTCGTATTAGATTTTTTTTCATTAAAAGGAATAGCTGGGGTTCTTCTATCTCACCTTTATTTTTTGCATAACCAATATAGTACTAAGAATAGTTAGAATTATACTATGATTCATGACTTGGTTTGTATCAGTTGATACGAAGATTTTTTATATCTGCTGATCACATATATAGTATTATTATTACATCTATTAGATTTTGTATTGAAGGGTGCTTAGTAGTATTACATTCACTAAATCTTTCCTGAACCTTTTTCAGATAAAAGAACTCAGACCAATCATAACTATTAATTCTACGAAGTATATACTTTCTTGCTTGAATTCAATTTAATTCTTCAGTAATAAAGGGTATTTTCGTTGCCTCAATGATGAGATAATCAGCTCCTAAGCTATGCAATTTTTTCTGTAATAAATTAAGATGAGAATTTCCTGCAACAGTAGTAGGAGCAAAAGAAGCTAAGTTATATGCTATTCCATTTATTTCTTCTGATGAGAGATTATTTTTTATAATATCTTAGGCAATAATTTTAATGGGATCTTTTTCATCAACATGTTTCTCAAGAGCTCGAATAGGAATAAGAGTATTAGCTTGTTCTTTACTCAATTCTAACTCTTGAAAGCATCTTTTGGCCTGATCTCTAGCTTTTTGAGCCTGCTTTTTTGTTTTACTATCTAAAAGTTTATTAGCTAACTCTTCAGCATAATTACTAAGCTGAGGTAAACTAGTTTGAGGAGTCAATTTGTAGTGATTTACAAATGATGTAGCAATTTTTGTTATGGTTAGTATATGTTTGTTGAGATGTTTTATATAGACTACTTTTGTCTAATATATACTATAGAGATTCTTTTTTCAAATTGAAATTAATTATACTTTTTTTCTCTATACTCAGAAAAAGAATATATATAGCTACCTATAAGGTAACTAGGACATCGATTTAAAGTTTACTAATACATAAAATATAATGAAAAAAATTTATAGCTTTGGAGTAGCAATTCAGGCTATATTAAGATTTATGATTCATTTTTATTTTTTATTGTAATGTTCTTGCTATAACAAGTATATGTTCTGGACCTAGAATATCTGCTTTACTGAATGTATCATACAAAGTATTTGGCCTATATTTCGATAGAATTAAATTTTAGTGATAGAGAAAATTTATAAGAAAATTATTTTTCTATTCCTGAGTTTCTTTACTATTCCAGTATAATTTTAGCAAATCATATATAGCAAATCTATTTCAGTTTGCCTTAAGCAAGATTTCTAGTAAACTTACTTTCTTATCAATTTTTGTAAGAAAACTTTTTTCTGCAATGATATCCCAAATCTTATTAAATACAAAAGATAGACTTTTTCTTAGTATTGGTATTTCATTGAATAGTGGAACCAAAAGTCTTTCTTCTCTCCAATGTATATAATTATCGCATAACAATCTATTATATGCTAACCCATTGATTGCAATAATATGATTTATTTTAGAGTTATATATTTTTAGTTTTTCTGAATGTCTAGGCAATTTGAATAACTTCTTAGCAATAATCATTTCTTTATTATATTTTGGCTCTTTAGTGTACATAATTAGTATATTACTAGTAATGAAAATAATAATAGTTAATTATTACTTATAAAAATGATAAGTTTAATTGGTTATTTCTCAAAGACCTAGATTATATACGAAAAAATTAATGATAATACTTTTCTAGTAATTTGCTTCACAAGTATAGAAATTTAGTACATAGAGTTTCTTTTACATTCTTCTATTTATAGTGAAGCTCATATCTTTAACACATAATATCTATATGCTCTTTCTCTACCTTGTCTACATAGTACACAAAGCTGAACACTCAATTTAGTTTCTTGCCCACATCCTTTATATAGTTGGAGAATTATTATATCTTTTCGAATTTTGAATGCATGAAGGATGCAATATTTCCTTCTTGCTAGATTTTTACATAAATAGATATCTCTGACTAATAACTAATTATAAGGCATTTTTAATTCACAAAGTAGTTATACTATTCTATTATCACTTTTATATTTAAAATCAAAGTAAGAATAAAGTATTGACTAAAATTTTACTAAATAGCATTTTAGGTATCACAAAAACTAGTATATAATACAAAGTTTGCATAATATTTTTTATCTAAAAATTTTTTTATTGACTAGTTTGTAGAAGCAAAAAATCATACCTATCTGTGAAATTCACCTTAGTATGTATAGTGATCTTACTATAGATATCTATTTTCCTGAAGTATCATTATTTTTTTTATTCATTTCTCATCATCATAACTCCTTGCTTAGGAGTTGTCATTGTCTTCATACAATTGGAGTATAATTTTCTTACTTATTAATCATTCTTGTCTAGATATATCTATTAATGTATTTGGGTTATTATCAGTATCTTTTGCAAATTAGATTATGTCTGCATCCAAATATAATCTATTATGGTATATATATACTAAATCCCTATCTTTTTCAGTTATAGTCATAAAGACTTCTAGATCCTTGCTATGATCTATAGCCTACTATCTGAGACATTTTTTCTTTTCTGCTCGGGATATATATTCAGGTAGATATAATTCTGATTAGATGTTAGCTTTTTTATTGCTGGGTTTGGGTTCATTATTTGTAGGCAAGTTAGAAAAATCTCAGGTTTATCATTTACTGAATCAATGATCTTAGATGAAGATTCTGCTTTATCATCTACAGGTTCTACGTATACGATCTTAGAGAGTAGAGATATATTAGTAGATATTGATATCGAAGCAACTAAACATTCTGGTTGATCTATTATTGAATTAAAGAGGTTTTGTGACATATCAGTAATGGCTAGAGTAGATACTATTTCCTTACCTTTTTTGATATTATTGGTGATCGATAACTCAGCTATATTTTTTACTGGTTGAGAATTTATTATAAGGCAATGACCTTTTGGGTCTACAATTTCAAATATGTTAAATACAGAGATATCTGTGGATATATCAGAAGATGTCTTAGCTTGAAGTGCATCAGAAAATTCTTTGATATTACCTACTGATTCATGTAGCTTGGCCATAATTTTGGAATGATCGAGAATATACTACTATTCTCTTTTTCTACTACCAGTATGTTTTTATTTAATATTAACTTATATGATTTTTTTCCCAAAATTATTATTACTGAATGGCTTTTCACTATTAGCTTCACACTATGTATGATACTTCTGATATAACATAGTATAACCTAGTTTTTTAATTTGATCTTCTAACTATACTAAAATATGATCAATTATGAATCAGATAGGATTTAGAAGATGCTTATATATTGTCTCTGTTTTCATTTTAGTAGTAGGAATATTTTCTTATAGATTCCAATTCAAAAAATCTTGATCTGTAAATAGCTTATAAAAGATCTAGATATATCAGAATAGTTAAGAATTTTTCCCAACTAACTAAAATATTTAAAATTACCTTTACATCAAGATGAAATATCTAAACATACAATACGACCATCTTTTTGCTCAATACAGATTAGAATATCATGATTACTTAATACTATAAATCCAAGAAAATAATTATATTCTTAATTTTTGAGACTTTTATACTCAATTAAGATATAAACTTTTATAATTAGAGATTTTAAGTAATTGTTTAACTTATGCTATTCTCCACTTAATATTCCCACTTCATTCATAATTATAAGTTTACATCTTTGAATACTACTGTTGAATTTTCTCAAAATTTTGCCTAAATCAGATGTTGAATATACAAGCTCTGGACTGAATAAACTTTTTCAAATAAAATCAGTAATAATATTTTTTTTACATCATAGTAGTGAATGCAAAACAAGAATTGTACTTAGAATTATTACTGAATACTGAACTAAAAATACTAACTATTTGAGAATATATATAGAAAGAACTTTATTCTTATCATATCAGATATTTTCTATATGCTATATAATTAGGTTTACAAAATCGTAATTAATTCAAGGTGCTAGTTTAGCCTTGAATCCTAAGAAAAGATTAAAGAATTCATTTTTTGGTTGTTCGATATTAGATAGATATGATAAGAAATTGATATCATCATAAATAATTATCTTGCTATCATATATACAATCTATCAAAGAGATCAATTTTATTAGTTCTCCTTCAAGTTCTACTATATTAATAGTTATTTTACTGAAATCAAGAGTAGGTGCTATACTAAAGTATAATCTACTATTTAGTTTTCTGTGTTTAAAAATCTATATTCATTTATCTTTTACTATGCAAGCAAGTATAGCCTGAATTGCATTATATACTTCATTTCAAGTAAAATTTTTCTTAGAAGTGTACATACGAATTAAATCACCTTATACAAAGTAGTTATTTGGATCTGAGATTCTGGGTCACTCTATTTATTCTGGGGATGGAAGACTATTTTCTCATTTCAAGACCAATACATTCAAAATAAGTTTTAATAAGGGTTTTTTTATGCCTATTTGTATTTCTTGATCTGCTCAATAGCAATAATATTAATAAGTTTTCTTATTTCAGATTATATATACATTATCACTAGTATGCTCTTGATTACAAAGTAAGTATTGAGATTCTGCTATATAATTTAGGAAAAATATATTTGGGAGTATCAGTAGAGGATATAAAACTTCAAAACCTTCGATTTTATACTCCTTAAGTAATTTTTCTATATATTCTACTTCAGATCTAATTATCCTAGCATTGATTTTATTACCTTGTAATGGGTCTTCAACTCTATTTTTTTCTAGTATTTTCCCATCTCCAATTGATAATTTTTCTTTCAAAATATCCAAGAGAGGACTATCTATAACTGGTGCCTCATCATTAGATAGATAAAGTATAAAATCAAAGACTGAACTATCTTTTAGAAATATCGCTCTCTTTGAATGGATATACTTATATAATGTTTTACTACTTTCATTACATTTTTTTTCTATTATCTTCAGGGTATTAAGCATTTGTAAAGAAAATAAGCTTTTGTTGGTAATATTATTAATAATATCTTTTTCTTGTAAATCTATTAGAAGTTTTTTGTGAATGAGCTCAATAAATACTGCAACTTTAGCAATATTTTTGAGTCAGAAACCAAAAGTTGATATATGGAAAAACATTTTTTTCTCATCACTACTACTAGCAATAGTCAATATTTTGTGATCCCAAATTGGATATATTTCTAAACATACTTCTTTAAAGGCATGATAAAGTAAATTCTATATTTCTTTAGCTATAAGCTTAAGCTTAGATTTAATTTTATCAAATTTTTCTCTAGATAAATCAAAATCAATAAAGGAATAAAATAGGTCATCTTTGTTAATAAATTCATACAATAAGTGGTCTATATGTTCTGTAAGTATTGCTACTATTCTATCCTCAGAATCTGTGCCAAGGAATTATCTTGGTCTTATACTATTATTATGAATTTTATATAGATATTCAGCTATACTCTCAACTTTGCTCTTTTAGTAGTACAACGCCCTGCTATTTTCTATTGCAGAGTAGGTCCGAAGAGGTGACCTTTTAGAGTCATAGCTTGAAGAGCCTTCTTCTATCTCTATATCTGACTCAAAATTCTCTGAGTTTTCTGGGCTATCTGATCAAGGTGATACTTCTACTTTTGCTGACATATGATCAATAGTTTTCTAGAAATTTTGAATATTTTAAGTAGTTATATTATATTATTATTTGAAACTATAATAGCAGTTAGAGAAAAGTTCAAAATAAAAATTAATTATTTTAGATAATTAGTGTTAGACAATATATTCTACTTAAAAAACATATTAGCAAAACTTTAGATATAGGATTTTACTGTTGTCCTTATATTCTTAAAAGTGGAAAAGTATGTAATCGAGGTTGCTATTAATCTAAGGGATATACAATTCACTGGAATTCTCCTACTCACATACTATATAAAGAATATAGTTATATTAAGTTAATATCTTCGATATATAGAGCATGCAGAACTCATACTAGTAAGTATTGTTCTTAGGACTACTATTATTAGGAGAAGCTGAAGAAGACAGCACAAAATAGTGTTATAAAAAATACATAGTAAGTATATATATGATATCTTAGTATAGCCAAGTATCACTGAAAATTAATATATATGTGTCTGATATGCAGGATACCTATATTTTTTGAAGTTCTAACTAGGATAAATTTTTTTCTAGGACATAAACTAGAATAGAAAAAAATATGCCTGATAGTAATTTCAAGCTGAATGAAAGAATTTTAGAATACCTGTCTCAGTTGTCCTAGTTGTCCTAGTAAATTTTTAATCTTCTTATTTTTTTTCTTTTTTTATCTATAGGTATACATAGTATATATTATATATATATAACCATATATATCATTATGTATAGTATAAATATATCATGAGTAGATAAATTTTATTTTTCCTAGATTATTACTTTTTACTAGAACAACTAGGATGAATATATAATAAATATAAAAGAACAAGATAAAAAAGGATTTTAAATCTTTCTCCTATATTGAATCTATCTCAGTTAATATTTTTTTTACTAGGATGAAACCAGAACAGATTTTTTATTAGGATGTAAGCAGATTTATTTTAACTATATTCTGAGATAGCGAACATGAGCAATTATATTTTGATAACATTTTTAATAGTATAATCAGAAGTATATATATAGCATAACCAGATAACGTATATATAGTATGTATATAATGATTTAGATAGCATATACTCTGACTAAAAATGATAACATAATCACATCCTAATTATCAAACTTGTGATAAAGCTAACTCAGTTGCATAACCTGCTTTAGATATTTTATTGCAATAGAAATCAGTTAGAAATGATAAGCCAGTATATGATATCAAATAATATATAAAATATATTCAGCCTATTAAACTCGTGATAAATTCAGTTATTTCTTTATAATTAAAATCGATCAGAAACACTAAATCGATATACAAAATTTTTTTTTTTTTTTTTTTTTTTTTTAAGGTGAGGTTTTGTCTTTATCTTTATTAAAATTTGTATGAGATTTCCACAAAGGGGTTTCTCAAATTTACAAATCTGTTTGCTAGAATAAGACTCAGACTATAAATAGTAAACT